ATGCGTTCCCCCCCCCCCCCACACACACACACGCATGCCCGCACGTCTGTGGCTCCCTGGACGGCAGAGCGGACAGCTGCAGCCAGGTAAGACATCCCCCGAAAATAAGACCTAGTGTCTTTTTTCGTGAAAAAAAATATATATAAGACACTGTCTTATTTTCGGGGGAAACCCGGTATAACCCTTTACACATACTGGAAATCCTGCAGCCTTCCGGCAGGTCCAGTGAGGTCACGGGTCACTCCTTCAGCAGTGTGCAATCCTTACTCCTGGACGGAGCATAGCTGGCATGTGAGCCTTGTTCTGTCCAGGAATACTATAAGCCAAGAACAGCATGATGATGTACACCCAGGGGCCAGGTCAATGACAGCTCTGTTGGCTAAGAGTGAGCGGGACGGTGGCCCAGAGGGGAAATCTTCCTCAGTGCTGGGAGATGCAACAGTCTATGCAGGGAGTTCTGGTGGGGGCAAGCTTTGTGGAACACCCCCAGGCAGCCATTGCCCGGCGCCACTCCCCCAGCCACCTAACGGGGCACGGGCCAAGTATGAGACCTGTACCCCACTATTGGTAGCCCTGGTGGCATACATGGGTGAGGTGTCCCACTACAGTTACTGTCTCTAATCCCGCCCCACCAACTGCATGGTCCATAATGAATGAAAAGTCCAACAGGGAGGGTGCTCATGGTGGTGATTTCTCTCCATGAAGCTGAGGGGGGATTTTTCGTAGCAACAAATAAAAGTCAGTCCCCTGAGAGCTGTTGCTAAAATGAATCTCCGCCGTGAGCAATCTGTAGCTAGAAAGGAAAAAATCCACTGCCATTAGCCCTTCACTTCTGGACCACTGCCCTTCTGGGTCCAGATCATACATTTTCATGACACCTGACCACATGATCGTAAGGGTGAACCAGCTACAAAGTCATCCATGAGGTGGGAGGGGTACACGGTATAACCTTTTACACATACTGGAAATCCTGCAGCCTTCCGGCAGGTCCAGTGAGGTCACGGGTCACTCCTTCAGCAGTGTGCAATCCTTACTCCTGGACGGAGCATAGCTGGCATGTGAGCCTTGTTCTGTCCAGGAATACTATAAGCCAAGAACAGCATGATGATGTACACCCAGGGAGCAGGTCAATGACAGCCTGGGCTCACAGGAAGTGGGCTGGATGACACAGAGTGTCATTCAATCTAGGCGAGTCAGCTGATAATGGAGCTGGGGGAGGAGGTGAGCAAATGTACTCTATTAGAAGTGGAGTTAAACTTTAAGGTATGTATGCAGATATGCTAAATAGGTTTTTTTTTTAAGTCTTGGGGATGGGGGGGGGGGATAGACACTGGAGCCAGGCTTTCTTAATGCATTGCAAACAGCAATGACTGAGATTTTCTTTTCATTTACAGCAGTAAAAGGCGATTTTTTTCCTATAGGTGGCTTTGGTTGTGTAAAGTTCGGCACACATTCTAAAGTCAACCGTCCCCCAGCACCAGTGTGGACCATGTAAAGCATCATGCTACTAAAGGGTTATTCCACCTAAGAATTACGCGTGCAGATCTCGTTCATGTTCAATTTGGAGTTTCACCTTTCTTGCCACAGCAGGGTTGTTCCCAGGTGTTCCCACTTCTCAGCTGCATTACCCAGAATAATCTGGGAGTGCAGCAGCCTTTCTTTGGCTAGGTTCACACCAGACCACTGAGGTGTGCAGCAGTTACGCACATGCATTAACGTGCACTGCATTAGCTAACCCATTTAACATGAACGGGCGGGCAATGCACCCCAATGGCCCCGAAATTGGACTCAAATCTTTATTGGCAGCACAAGTTATGGCATTGCCAGTGTGGTGTAGTGCACCTCTATCGGCAAGGTGCATTGGGGTGCCATTGTGATGTGGTGCCACTCACAATGAATGGCACTACATCACAACATTGCAAGCAGTGTGTGGTGCTGTGCCATGTGGTAACACAATAATGTGCGTTCCCACAATGCAATAGTGTAAATGGGGCCTTAGTGGCCGCGTCAGGAGTACAGATCTAGGAATCCCCAAGAGGAAGGTGAACATCAGTGCGGCTAATAAATGCACTTGTTTCAGCAGGAGTAACCAGCCCCCTCTCCCAGCATTGATATCAGTGGAAATAATAAAAGACCCTTGCCCCTTCCTGGGCAAAGAATTCCCCAACCTGTGTGCAAGCTTCATGTCCTGTGACGCTCCTCGTTTTGACTATACACGCACCATCGAGCAGGAGATCACTCCATGCCATAGCGCTTGTCATAGATTGCCGGGTGCTGGAACGCTCTATACCAGCAGATCCCACAACGTGTGATAAGAAAGCCCTGCATCTCAGAGGCCAGTTTATGGTGATCGGCAGGCCATAATTTGGGGACCTCTCTGATGGTTCACCTGGTGCTGGACTGACATGAACACAAGAGAACGTTTTCTTTGCATGCCGACTTGGAATCTCAGCCCCTCACCTCGTGGACTTGCTTCAGCTCACGGTCCAGCAGAGCTTGACGTTTCAAGAAGCCGTCCCTTGTGGTTGTCCTGGGCTTGGGGGCCTGGACACGAGGCTGTGTTACAAAATCTGGAAGATTGGCCTCCATGTCCAGCAAACCTGGGTGGAAAAATGAGATAGAAGTCAGCAAACCCTACACAGCACACAGACAATAAGATTTATGAAAGGTCCTCCATATGTATTAATGTCTAAGCTCCTGGGGGTCTTGCACCGCACCAACCTAACCCCCCCCCCCCCCCCCCCCCCACACCCCCCATTCCCCCCCCCCCCCCCCCCCCCCCCCCCCCCCCATCTGTTTATTTTCCTCTCATTTCTCCCATCCCTCTCTTCCTTTCTTTCCATTTCCTCAACCTTTCTCCTCTCGCTCCATAGCATCTGTAACCCTTACCATCACTCCCTTTCCTGCCTATTCTCCTACCCCAGACACACCATCAATGTCTCACTCAGGACCTTCCTAGTCCACCCCTATAGGTCACGCAGATGTCCCTGAATAGAGAACATATCATAGGTCAACCAATCATCAAGAGTTTAGTTTGGAAGGTCATTTAGTGACCTGGTTGTGCATGTTTGGCCAGTCATTGCCTTCTGTAGGTAGCCGGAAAGGGGGACAGAACTTGTCTCACCTTGGTAGGAGTCCAGGAAAGGGCTTCTCACTGTGTACTGTGCAGAGAGGCGATCTAGGGAGTAACCAATCCGGGAGAGGGGAGCGTAGGTCTGAGAGGCGTAGTTGGAGTACTCCTGAATGACATCGCGCCTCTCCAACTTCCCTTCAACATTTCCCATCTTCTTTGTCAGCTTCCTGATCACTGTGGAGTACGGGAAAAGCAGAGACATATGAGATGTGCAGTAAGTGGGTCCTCCCAAGCCAGTCCCACAATCTCAGCGCTTACAGGCCCATAACAATACCCAATACATGACTCCTGCGCTGTGCAGCATGGTAAAAAGCACACTACGGTGGGATCTGCACCAGCCCTTCATTATTCCCCAACCACATAGGTCTACGTGTATTACTGAGAAACTCCAGAGAACAGCTTTGAGATATAGCGAGCATTGAATGCAGCCCTTGAGGGACGCATGTAATATGCATTACATACAATGCTACATAATGCCGTAGACTGAAGGCTTACGTGAGGAAATGGTCACGGAATGTGCTACAGGAGTGGTTAGAACCTGGAGGCATGCCGTGGGACACAGTCAGATTCTAGAGACATAAGACTGCCAACAATGACTGCTATTACAGGACCTTTATAAATGAAAGCTCCCACGGCTGGCTGCTCGGGCCTGAGGACAGCACTGCAAACAGTGGCAGGTTGGACATCAGGGGTTTCCAGGTCAGAGGGATCAGTCTCTAGAGGAAGATAGGAACTTGCAGGCACCATAAGGTTCCTGTACTTCAGCGCTGTTGTTACCTGAGAGTGACATTAAAGGCAAGAATTTGTTTCCCTCCCCCCCGATGTTAATGTCAGCACTTACCTTAAATGATCTCTTTTTCCGATCTTCTTCTTCTTTTTGTTAACAAATTAATAGGGGACCCTCCATTATAAACAAATCAAAGCGTTATTCATAATTTATTTATATTTCAAACCTTCCCACCCCGCAGTATATATTACTTCTTCTTCTTTCCTGATGTTTTCAGCCTTCTCTCCAGCGCTGACTCCTCTGTCCCTGCGATCCAGCGGTGTCTGCATGCTGGTGAACGCATAGTCATGAAGGGGTTAAAGTGCTGTTTGAGCGTTTTTGTTTTAAAAAAAAACTTTTTGCATATATCTACTGCTTGCTAGCAGTAGATATATGCAAAATAACGGGAGGGTTTAAATATCATTTAGGAGACATTTTAGGCCAGACCTTGAGAACCCATAAATTGTGAATTTGTTCTTGGGTTCCTGATCCACAGGTTGCACATCTGGGGAGTTGAAACATTAAATAATTTTAAGAGGTCGGGACTCTGTGCAGGCCAGTCAGGTTCCTCCACCCCAAACTCCCCCATCCATGTCTTTATGGACCTTGCTTTGTGCACTGGTGCGCAGTCATGTTGGAACAGGAAGGGGCCGTCCCCAAACTCCTCCCACAAAGTTGTGAGCATGAAATTGTCCAAAATGTCTTCTGATGCCTTAAGAGTTCCCTTCACTGGAACTAAGGGGCGGAGCCCAACCCCCCGAAAACCAACCCCCTCCCCCCAAACTTTACACTTGGCACAATGCAGTCAGGCAAGTACCGTTCCCCTGGCAACCGCCAAACCCAGACACGCCCATCGGATTGCCAGACAGAGAAGCGTGATTGGTCACTCCAGAGAACACGTCTCCACTTCTCTAGAGTCCAGTGGCGGCGCGCTTTACACCGCGGCATCCCACGCTTTGCATTGCACTTGGTGATGTGCGGCTTGGATGCAGCTGCTCGGCCATGGAAACCCGTTCCATGAAGCTCTCTACGCACTGTTGTTGTGCCAATCTGAAGGCCGCATGGAGTTTGGAGGTCTGTAGCTATTGTCTCTGCAGACAGTCGGCGACTTCTGCGCGCTGTGCGCTTCAGCATGCGCTGACCCCGCTCTGTCATGTGACGTGGCCGACCACTTCCTGGCTGAGTTGCTGTTGTTCCCAGTTGCTTCCACTTTGTTATAATCCCAGTAACAGGTGACCACGGAATCATTGGAACACCTGAATCCAATGATTTGGAGGGGGAGGGGCCCAATACTTTTGGCAATATAGTGTATAACAGCTTTGTACACTGCCAACCTGCAACTAAAGCTCTTCAACATCAGACTGTTATCCACACATTGTGCATCTGAGTTTGGGAAAAGCTTTCATAAAAATGATTGAACGGAAGAACTATTGTAGACCGCTGAGGACAGGCCGAGAAAGACAGATTCCATCGCCATCGTGCCGTGACTTCTTTTACCTTTGATGTGTTCCTTCCGCATCCGTTTTATAGTCTCTTCTTTCTCGGTTTGTAGTTTGGACCATTTGGCGTCCAGCCTCTTTGTGTCCAGCTCGTTCTGGCTCTCTTTTCGTTTTTGGAGAAGCTTCTTGAGCACCTCGAGTCGAGCCTCCTGCAGCCTGATACAAGGCGGGTCATGCACAAAGGAAAGACAGAGCAAAGACAAACAGATTAATTTAAAGGGTCAGTTTACCCGGAAGTGATATCTGGGTTGAAGGCGGAGTCAATGCTCACTCACTGGTTACTTATATATTTTGGGGACTCTACCTGTAATACCCCCACCTACCTAAGCTCTGTTCCTATTTATATTGGCATCTTTGGTCTTCCCGCCCACCTAGGGATGCCCCTACTCCTCCTGCTGCACTCTCCATAACATAAAATTGACCACTACCCCAACAAAAAGAGAGGGGTCCCCGGGAACTCAGCACAGGGATGGTGGGGGCCCCTCATAATGGGCACAGCGGGTGTACAGACCCGGGAACTCAGCACAGGGATGGCGGGAGCTCCTCATAATGGGCACAGCAGGTGTACAGACCCGGGAACTCAGCACAGGGATGGCGGGAGCTCCTCATAATGGGCACAGCAGGTGTACAGACCCGGGAACTCAGCACAGGGATGGCGGGAGCTCCTCATAATGGGCACAGCAGGTGTACAGACCCGGGAACTCAGCACAGGGATGGCGGGAGCTCCTCATAATGGGCACAGCAGGTGTACAGACCCGGGAACTCAGCACAGGGATGGCGGGAGCTCCTCATAATGGGCACAGCAGGTGTACAGACCCGGGAACTCAGCACAGGGATGGCGGGAGCTCCTCATAATGGGCACAGCAGGTGTACAGACCCGGGAACTCAGCACAGGGATGGCGGGAGCTCCTCATAATGGGCACAGCAGGTGTACAGACCCGGGAACTCAGCACAGGGATGGCGGGAGCTCCTCATAATGGGCACAGCAGGTGTACAGACCCGGGAACTCAGCACAGGGATGGCGGGAGCTCCTCATAATGGGCACAGCAGGTGTACAGACCCGGGAACTCAGCACAGGGATGGCGGGAGCTCCTCATAATGGGCACAGCAGGTGTACAGACCCGGGAACTCAGCACAGGGATGGCGGGAGCTCCTCATAATGGGCACAGCAGGTGTACAGACCCGGGAACTCAGCACAGGGATGGCGGGAGCTCCTCATAATGGGCACAGCAGGTGTACAGACCCGGGAACTCAGCACAGGGATGGCGGGAGCTCCTCATAATGGGCACAGCAGGTGTACAGACCCGGGAACTCAGCACAGGGATGGCGGGAGCTCCTCATAATGGGCACAGCAGGTGTACAGACCCGGGAACTCAGCACAGGGATGGCGGGAGCTCCTCATAATGGGCACAGCAGGTGTACAGACCCGGGAACTCAGCACAGGGATGGCGGGAGCTCCTCATAATGGGCACAGCAGGTGTACAGACCCGGGAACTCAGCACAGGGATGGCGGGAGCTCCTCATAATGGGCACAGCAGGTGTACAGACCCGGGAACTCAGCACAGGGATGGCGGGAGCTCCTCATAATGGGCACAGCAGGTGTACAGACCCGGGAACTCAGCACAGGGATGGCGGGAGCTCCTCATAATGGGCACAGCAGGTGTACAGACCCGGGAACTCAGCACAGGGATGGCGGGAGCTCCTCATAATGGGCACAGCAGGTGTACAGACCCGGGAACTCAGCACAGGGATGGCGGGAGCTCCTCATAATGGGCACAGCAGGTGTACAGACCCGGGAACTCAGCACAGGGATGGCGGGAGCTCCTCATAATGGGCACAGCAGGTGTACAGACCCGGGAACTCAGCACAGGGATGGTGGGAGCTCCTCATAATGGGCACAGCAGGTGTGTAGAGCTTGGGAAGGGCAGAGATCTCACCAACAGAGTCCCTATGAGGTCAGGTACTTCAGGGACCAGGTACCATTATTTTGGTTTGATTATCACAATAAAAGATAACTGCTGATAGATACAAAGTGAAATATTTCTTCTCATAATACTTTCATCCATCCAACCTTCTGCCTAAAAGAAGCTGCATTTGTACGTGGGACAGAATAAGAGTCCTGCCTGATCTGTAGCTGAAGAGGCAGAACCAGAATTTGGACCCAACACACAACACAAAAGCCTCGGTTTGCTGTCAGTTTGTCACTTACTTCCCTATCTCCTGCTCCCGGAAGGCCCACTCCTTCCTCTCCTGCTCATCCATCATCTTTCGTCTCTTCTCCAGCTGGCTTTCATCGCTCAGAGGCGGCAGTGTTGCCTCCCAGGCTCTCTTTTCTCTTGCCCGCTCGATCATCTCCACTTCTGCCAGCCCAGCAGGGAGACCATGGCCTGGCAACCCAAAATGAGTGAATAATGAGAGCAGAGACAGAGGATAAGAGAGACAAAGAGTTCTCTAGAGACATGGCAGAGATCCAGATACCATATACAGAGGACAGCAGTGATAGGAGAGAGGGAGCAACTGACAGGACAAGGAAGAAGGACAGGACAGGTCAGAAGACATAAGTGAGAGGTCAGGAGGGAGAAGACAGAACAGAGGACAGCAGTGAGAGGACAGAGCAGAGGACAGGAGTGGAAGGACAAAGCAGAGGACAGGAGTGGAAGGACAAAGCAGAGGACAGGAGTGGAAGGACAGAACAGAGGACAGAAGAGGAAGGACAGAGCAGAGGACAGGAGTGGAAGGACAGAGCAGAGGACAGGAGTGGAAGGACAGAGCAGAGGACAGAAGAGGAAGGACAGAGCAGAGGACAGAAGAGGAAGGACAGAGCAGAGGACAGGAGTGGAAGGACAGAGCAGAGGACAGGAGTGAAAGGACAGAGCAGAGGACAGAGGTGGAAGGACAGAGCAGAGGACAGGAGTGGAAGAACAGAGCAGAGGACAGGAGTGGAAGAACAGAGCAGAGGACAGGAGTAAGAGGACATAGCATGGGACAGGAGTGGAAGGACAAAGCAGAGGACAGGAGTGAAAGGACAGAGCAGAGGACAGAAGAGGAAGGACAGAGCAGAGGACAGAAGAGGAAGGACAGAGCAGAGGACAGAAGAGGAAGGACAGAGCAGAGGACAGGAGTGGAAGGACAAAGCAGAGGACAGGAGTGAGAAGACAAAGCAGAGGGCAGGAGAGGGAGGACAAAGCAGAGGGCAGAGGTGTAAGGACAGAGCAGAGGACAGGAGTGGAAGGACAAAGCAGAGGACAGGAGTGGAAGGACAAAGCAGAGGAGAGGAGTGGAAGGACAGAGCAGAGGAGAGGAGTGGAAGGACAGAGCAGAGGAGAGGAGTGGAAGGACAGAGCAGAGGACAGGAGTGGAAGGACAAAGCAGAGGACAGAAGAGGAAGGACAGAGCAGAGGACAGAAGAGGAAGGACAGAGCTGAGGACAGGAGTGGAAGGACAGAGCCGAGGACAGAAGTGAGAAGGACAAAGCAGAGGACAGAAGTGAGAAGGACAAAGCAGAGGACAGTAGTGAGAAGACAAAGCAGAGGGCAGAAGAGGGAGGACAAAGCAGAGGGCAGAGGTGTAAGGACAGAGCAGAGGACAGGAGTGGAAGGACAAAGCAGAGGGCAGAGGTGTAAGGACAGAGCCGAGGACAGAAGTGAGAAGACAAAGCAGAGGACAGGAGAGGGAGGACAAAGCAGAGGACAGAAGTGAGAAGACAAAGCAGAGGGCAGGAGTGAGAAGACAAAGCAGAGGGCAGGAGAGGGAGGACAAAGCAGAGGGCAGAGGTGTAAGGACAGAGCAGAGGACAGGAGTGGAAGGACAAAGCAGAGGACAGAAGTGGAAGGGCAGAGCAGAGGGAGGACAGAAACAGCTCCAGGAACAAGAAAGAAAGGACAGGAATATATCGCAGTCCACAGACAGAGGAGTTGTCACCTTCCTAGACTCAGGTATTGTTGCGGTCTGTAGTCATTAAAGCTTTTCAATAATAAGAATGATAACATTGTAAATCACACAGCGGAATATTTCTCCCACATTGCTCCGGCATGAATATGGCCCAATAAGAACAGGAAGCCGGTGATGTCATCTAAGAACACACAAATATTGGACTCGGAAACCCCGCGGCACTGTGGTAGGTCATGCTCACCCCAGGTCAGATTGGCCAGCATCAGTATCTCGGGAACAGACCCGGGTCGCACTACAAACTCTGGAGTGTAGGGGTCAGTCTGCGCCTCGCTATCCCGGTAATCTGTCTGAATCGCCACCGTGCGCACCAAGGGGGTAAGAGCCCTCTCCGGCCGTGGGCTGTGCTCTGTCCTGTTCACAGAAGATTTGGGAAATGATCAGAGGAATGAGCGCCAGACGACACTTCTGATCTACAAACTAAGTTGAAGGAACATGAGCAGCTACAGACAAACAGATGAATATGTTATAGTTTCAGAGACAATTACAAATGCTGCGTTCCGATAACTGCATGTGGTGCGTACATGTAATCACAGCATTGAATAGATCATTTCCTTTTCATAAACATGAATTTAAATGATTCTCAACAATTACATGCGGCCCAAGCTGTCCGGCAACGGCAGTTTGTTATACTCAACTTCTTCCCAATTTAGCGCCAATCTCCTCTTCGCTGCATTTGCTGTTTCACCCAGAATGCCGGGGCCACGCCCAGCAGGCGGCAGGTGCTGCCTTAAAGGGATAGGCAATGCATTTTGAGAACGTGTCGCCACTTCTAAAGCCGAGCCCCTGTGCCCGCCATGACACTTCTGTGCACCCCGAGTTCCAGGGTCTCTCGGCGTCCCACTCACTCCTTTGCCTCCAGGCTCCCGTGTCTTGGCTTTTGCATGGAAACACAGCAGCGCTCTAAGGCAGCGGTCGCCAACTGGTGGTCCGCGGAAAAAATTTGGGTGGTCCTCGGGCCCCTCTGATGCCGTGCAGGCTGGGCCGTCATTGAAGCGGCACGGAGGCTCCGGGGGCCGCCTCTCACTGACTCGAGCAGCGGCTGTCACAAGGAATGGGTGGCTCTCAGTACAGTGCGGGGCTCTGCAGGAGGCGGGGCATCTTGTCAGCACCCTGACTGAGCAGGCTGCGGGACATGGAAAAACTGAAGAGAAGCCAGGTAATGGTGGCTCAGTGTGGGGGAAGGGGGGGCACGGGGGTGGTTGGGGGCAGTGCTGAAGCTAGGGGGGGCATGTGCCCCGAGCGCCGCCGGCAGGGCCAGTGGCAGATTCGATAGAGGGAAACAATTAATATTATTACTGGGCCGGGGGCCCGCCCTCCACCAGCACTGCCACCCGCACCTATGTATGTGTATGAGAGAGAGGGAGAGAGAGAGACGTCACAGAATGTCACAGACTGAGAGGAACATGAGAGATCACGGACTTATAAATCCCCAACATGGACTCACCCCCCCTTCCTATTATCCCTCACCCCTAATAATGTCTCTAGACTTACCTATTCCTCCATGGTAGTGGATAAGGAGGGTTATCTAGCTGGGCTAAATATTGCCAAAGAAAAGGCAAATGAAAAGGTGTACTAGTGAGGGTCCGAGGATCGGATGAGGACCGGTCTGTGGGAGGATCGTGAAGTCCAGGATGTGTGTTCCTGGACTCCAGAGAGCTTGAGAAAGAGGTCTTAACCTCGAAATGCGTTGCTTCCGATCCTCCACCTTGACTATACTGACTTGATCACCCATCAACCTGTCGGTGTCCCGGCTAACTCTAACCCACCACATCATTAATGCTCGGGCACTCGTCGGGCCCCGGTCCACACATAGACTTAGCCGCACTGCCCACAGCTGCAGTCACAGCAGCCCAGTCAAACACTGTCTGTGTATACCGCCGGTACTTCACATCACAGCAGCGGGGATCCGGACAATATCTCAGTGCTGCCACCCGCACCCCCCTCTTCATCTCTCGCCTGCTCCAGATGAGTAGCCTCAGGTAGTACACCAGCCTCCATTGAGAACACACATCTTGGACTTCATGATCCTCCCACAGACCGGTCCTCATCCGACCCTCGGACCCTCACCAGTAAGTACACCTTTTCATTTGCCTTTTCTTTGGCAATATTTAGCCCAGCTAGATAACCCTCCTTATCCACTACCAGTTAACCCTCCTTAGCTTTGCACCCTCACTTTTGTCCTTTTTGTTTTTCACTAGCACAGGCACTCCTCCTGTCTTCTAGGGCTGCAGGCTAGTCAGGTACACACATTCCCCAGGCCATATCCGAGAGCGCTGTTTGTACCGTCCTTGTGTGCTATTCCTCCATATCATT